GGAGGGGAGGGGGAAAAAGGGTAAGCAGGCTGAGGCTGGAGCCCAGGAAGCGGGAGGGGGACTAGGAGCAGGGTGAGTGACAGGGAAGGGGGAGGATGCTCATCCTCAGCTGGGAGTCTCAGGGTCACCCGAGGTGAGCTCAGGCCCTTCTGCAGAGGCCCTGCCACCCAGAGCTGCTGCAAAGCCCTCTCCCCTCTCCCAACCAAGCTGGCTTGTGACCTTCTGAGGCCCTTTCTGCTTTTGCCCCATAACTGGCACCCAGACCTTGGTATTTGCAGAGCCTGCACCCTTAGGCTCCCAGTCAGCTCAGAACTGGCCTCATCCCACCACTTCCTCCATTCTGGGCACTGTGCTGGCCACAGCCAGGTCCCATCACTTCCTGACTCCACAGCCTATGACTGGCTGCCCCTGGGCGCATCAAAGGATGTGAGTGTCCTGGGAGACACACCTTCCTCCAGGGTCTACTCCAACAGCCAAGGAACTTTCTGCTTGGAAGCTCAGCTATTCCTCTCTCCCTTCCTTAGCCTCAGCTCTCCCCCAATACCCCACCCCCAAGAGGTTTTGGACCTACACTGCCTGGGGCCAGGTCTGAGCTCTGGCCCTCATGGCTGGTGTGACCTGGGCCAAGTTACAGACAATCCAGCTTCTGTTTCTCCAAGTGAGAAGGTGGCTGTGACACCTAGCTCACCGGCATGCCAGTGCTCTGCGCAGCGCCTGGCGCAAGACAAGTGGGTGCAGGCTGCCTGCTGCCTGCTGCTTCCTGCCTGCCTTTCCCGACACAGGGAGGCCCTGCTGCCTGGTGCCAGTGTCTGGGGAGAATGGAACTCAGAGCAAAGCAGAGTGGCCAAGGAATTCTAGTCTTAACCCAACCCCTCTTCCATTTCAGAGATGGAGAGGCCAAGGCGTGGGACTCAGGGATGACTGGCCTTAATGACTAGTCACAGCTAGCACTGTGCCAGTCACTTCATGGTACTATCGCATGCCATCTGCCCAGCAGCTCCTTGAGAGGTGTTTGTGCTATTTCATAGGTGAGAAAGCTCAAAGTTAAGTACACACTGGACAAAAGAGGGGTGCTGTAATAAAGCTAACCGAAAGTAACCTCACAGGGTGATCTAATCACAAATTCCTAACTAGGCTGGCGGGACATGGTGAATATCACTCCCAGGCCTGTAACTCCTTTAATAGAAGTTTATCTTTGCCTTAAGCAAGCCCTGTCCATTGTTTCTGTGAATCTAGGTTAACACATGATTGAAATGCCTCTTTTTCAAACCTCTGGGAAGTGGAACTAACTGCAAGGGAGCACATAATCTTGTTCACTATCCTGTAGTCCAATCCCCGCCTTGCTTTCTCCCACCCTCGAGTAATCTTCCCTCCTTAATTCTAAATGCATAAGAGAAACTGCAAAGCTGTCATTCTCCACAGCATTTGAGATCTTGCTTCCCAGCACTGTCATTAGTTTGGCTCAAATAAAATCGTATTAAAATTCTCTACAGGTTTGCAAGTTTCCTACACTGACAGTACAAATAGACGAGGTACAATTTGAACTTGAGGTTTGTCTGACTCCTGATCTCACAGACTGCACCCCTGGGGGCAGAGGGGGGCACGACCCTATGTCCACATAAGATGGAAAGGCTGTCACCAGCCAGGGCCTGGGGTAGAGACCGGGGCTGCCGTCCCAGCAGTGCAGAGACCTGCTCTGCAGCCGTGGGCAGGCCTCTTCCTCTCCCTTGTCTCATTTTACCATGTTGCCTCCTCTGTTCCCCAGAGTAGGGACATGGCAATGAATCAGGCCAGGCACCCAGCAGGGGGTCCCTGCTTCTCACCATTTGGGAGCCATGAGCCCAGGCTCCTGACTCAGTCTAGCACTGCGTCCCTCACTATCACAGGCAGAGAAGGAGAACAGATGGGGGACAAGCTTCCCCAACCTCCCCATCTAGATAGCCCTGGGATGCCTGCCCTCCAACCTTAGCAGCCACCCCCACCCTTGGCCACTCCTGCTGTTTGGGGACTAGCTGAATTTGGAAGATGGCTTCTCTGTTCAGACAAGGAGGGAAGAAGAAAGTTGTTTTTCAAGCAGCAGAGCTTTTAGATAAACACAGTTTATCTCTCTCTCTCTCTCTGTTCCTACTTAAAGGAATTGGGTTCCTTTGGAAAAGAAACTAGATTCACGGGCTGATAGCACCCAGATGCCGAGCAACTGGGAGCCTGGCCTGGGAGCTGAACACTGAAGGAGGCTTTCTTCATCTGGCTGAGCACCTGCTGCCAGCTCTGGCAGGCCTGTGGCTCAGGTGACGGGGCCCTGGTGCCAGGCCATAGCCCTGCCAGCTCCCAGGCTCCTGCTGGCCTGGCCCACCTCCTCCCCCTCCCCTCCAGCCACCCCCACCTGCTTGCCTGCCCGTTTGGATCTGCCAGGAAGCTGAGAACTTCTGTTCACCTTGGGGTGACCCCTTCCTCTTGGAGCACCCCTCCCTGCCCTGACCTCAGAAACAGCCCAGCCTCCTGCTGTTAGAAGAGAGTTAACAACTGGTTACATCCACAACAGAATGGCCTTCCCCACCTAGTCAGGCAGATTCTAGAATTACCATAGGCCCATTTTACAGAAGGAGAAGTGAAACCCAGAGGGGACACTGACCTGTCCAGAGCCACATAGCAGAGTGACAGAGCTGACACCCCTCCCCCCAGACTCTGGGGCTCCCTGGGTCATTTGGACCAGGTCCCAGTGTGGCTCACCGGTGTGGTGTCATCATGGGAGCGCTGGTAGCGTTTCCAGCGGCAGCCGTAGATGCCTGTGAGGCAGGAGAGGCACAGCTGGGGCTCATAGTACTGCAGGGGCTGGTGTCTTACCATGCTCGTGCCCGAGGCCCTGGTGCCCGGCCCTCAGGAGCCCATGGGGGCCCCAGGCTGGTCCTGTGGGAGAAAGCAAAGGGCTGTGAGGCAGGGGAAGGGTGGGGAGTCAGCCCTAGACACAGCAGAAGTCATTGCAGCCTAGGTCGGGGGTCAGCCTCTGACAAATCCCTGCAGTGGGTCCCAGGACCACCTGGAGACAGGGGCCCACCCCTGCAGTTCTCCCAGGACAGTCCCTTGTCACCCGCCCCTGATCTAATCCATACCCTTCCCTCCCCCAGCCACACTTGACCAGCACACTGCTGCTGCTTCCTCCGCCTGGAATGCTTTTCCCTTAGAACCCGGCATGGTTCACTCCTTGCCCTCCTCTCCTCAGGTCTTCGCTTAAATGTCTATCTCAACCAGACTTCCCTAGGTCACCTTCTGTAAAATGCAACCGCTTCCCATACACTCTCAGCCATTTTTAGCTTTGCTTTCTCGATCATGTTCTCAAACATAATTTACTTATTTTGTTTCTTGTCTGCCTATCCCACTATGAAATAAGCTTCATAAAGGCAGGGATTTTGTCTGTCTTATTTTCTGCTATATGCCCAGTAATTAGAACAAAGCCTAGCACATAGTAGAACTTTCCAAATATTTTTAAATAAAATTCTCATAAAAGCTGGCATGTATTGAGTACTTAAAATATTCCAAGCACTGTGAATACTTTATAACCATTGTTCCCTGTCACTATCACAAAGTGGCAGGTGCTGTGTCCCAAACCCATTTGATAATTGGACAAAGTAAGGCTGAGAGAGAGAAAGGGCAGTGCCTGGCCTGTGGTCACAGCTGGGTGGGGGCAATCTGGGAATCTGGTGCCCATTTCTTCAGGCTCAGGGAGAACCAACCCAGCAGGGCTCATGGGAGGTTGATAGAATAATGGGACATGTCTTATGGGTTGAGTTACTACCACCAGGAGCAACTGCCCCAGCCCTGCTTGGTGCCCTGGAGATACGCTGGGGTTCAGTGTTGGCCAAGTGTGGCCAGTGGCCATTGGCTTGGGCACCTCATATATCAGGCATCATCTGATCCTCAATGCCACTGTTACTATTGTCCCATTTTACAGATGAGGAGCCTGGGGCTCAAAGCAGCAAAATGATTTACCTGAGGAGTGAGGACTCAACTCCTGGTCTGTGGGACTCCAGACATTGAAGTCACTGGTTCTGTACCAGACCCTGTTCTAGGCCCTGAGACAATGTGAACAGGACAGGTGCAGTGACCCCCTCAGGACCCTTGTAGGACCAGCAAGGGGCACGAGCAGGCCCTTACTATGCTCCAGTCACCATTCCAAGTGCTGTCCATATCCTAACTCTAATAGCAACCTATGGGGTAAGTAGTATCATTACTTTTTTATTGAGATAGAATTCACATGCCCTAAAATTCACCCCTTTAAAGTGTACAATTCAGTGTTTAACATTTCGGTTTTTAGGATGGTCACAGAGTTGTATAACTATCACCATTATCTAATCCCAAAGCACTGTCATCATTCCAACGAAAACTCCACACTCACCCCTGTCCCTCAGCGACCCCATCCGCACCCCTCAAGCCCTAACAGCCACTAATCTGCTTTCTGTCTCTATTTATGTGCCTGGTTTGCACATTTCATATAAATGGAATCATACAATATATGGTCTTTTGTGCCTGTCTTCTTTCACTTAGCATAATGTTTTCAAGGTTCGTCCATATTGTAGCATAAACCAGTATGCATTCTTTCTATGGCTGAAGAATATTCAGTTGTACAGATGCACCTTTTACCTGCTCACCAGTTGATGGACATTGGGGTTGTTAGCACTTTGTGGTTGTTAAGAGTAACACCACTGTGAACACGATTCTGTGTGAACATATGTTTTCATTTCTCTTGAGTCACTACTTTGGAATGGAATTTGCTGGGTCATATAGTTTAACCTTTAGAAGAACTGCCAAAAGCTGTTTCCCAAAGCAGCTGCACCATTTTACATCCCAAAGTACTATCATTACCATCCCCACTGTACAGATGAGGAATCTGAAGCATAGAAAGGTCTAGCCCTTTGCCGTAGGTGACACAGCAGAGCCAGGCAGTCTGGCTCTGGGGGCCTTGCTCTAACCTACGGGATGACAAACGGTAATTCCTGGGCCATATCCGGCCAGCCACCTATTTTTGTAGCCCACAAGCTAAGAATGACGTTTACATTTTTAAATGATTGAGAAGAAAAAAAATCAAAACAAGAACACATTTGTGACACATGCAAATTATATGAGAGTCAAATTTCAGTGGGTCCATAAATAAAGTTTCACAGGACGCAGCCAGGCAAAAGTTTCACAGGACGCAGCCAGGCTCATTCATTTACGCATTGCCTCTGGCAGCTTTAACTACAATTGCAGAGTTGAGTAGTTTCGAGGGAGCCCATGTGGCCCACAAAGCCTAAAATATTGCCTGGCTCCTTAACGGGGAAAGTTTGCTGACCCCTGCAACCACCGGGCATAATGGCTCATAAATTCAGTGTATGGCGGAGAGAATAAAGGGAGGCTCTGGGCACTTAACACGGGGCAGAGAGGGTCAGGGCACAGGGCACAGGGCACGCTTCCCAGAGGCAGTGCTGAGCTGAGGCCTATAAGATGAGCTCCTAAGATGCTTCTTTCTTTCTTTTTCCTGCCCTCCTCCCCGCTCCTAAGGTGACTTTTTCTAAATGCCCAGGGCTGCACCATAGGAGCACCTAGGGCTTCAGGCCCATCCACTACTTCCACCTCTGGGCCTCATTCAGGGCCTCTGCCTACCACCCCGCCCCGCCCCCCACCAAATGCTAACCTCAGCACAGGGATTACCGCTCCCGTCTGCGGAGATGCATTAGGGGCTTGCTGGGAATATCGACTGACCCAGTGCCTCCTAGTTGCTGGGAATTGTCTGGTGCAGTCTCTGCGCCACGGTCCCCTGGGGAGCCATGTGAATATGGTGCAGCTGCTGGGGACTCTCTGCGTCAAGCTCAGCCCAGGGCTTGGGGGGCAGTAAAGGGTGGGGATGCTGTTGCAGTCGGCTTAGCTCCTGTGGGGTTAGGGAGGCCTGGGGAGCAAATGGGAGATGCTCTCAGCTCTACTCAGCCAGATCTCTCCCTGTGCACCCCCCAGATTAGGGCCTCCGCTGTCGCGTTGACTGCCACATCTGCTCCCACCTCTTCAAGAAGGGAGGAGTGCCCTGGCCGGTTTGGCTCAGTGGTTAGAGTGTAGGCCCGCAGACTGAAAGGTCCCGGGTTCAATTCTAGTCAAGGGCCGGTACCTTGGCTGCAAGCTTGATTCCCAGCCCTGGTCGGCGTGCAAGCTGGAGGCAACCAATCAATGTCTCTCTCATATCGGTGTTTCCTTCCCTCCCTCCCCCTCTCTCCCTCTCTCTCTCTCTCTCTCTCTCTCCCCCCACCCTTCCACTCTCTCTGAAAAGCAATGGAAAAAATATCATCGGGTGAGGAAAACACACAAAACGACAAGAAGGGAGGAGGCAGCTGATATGTAGAAAGAGGCCTGGATTCATCCTGTGTCAGCCACTGACTTGCTGTGGGCTCTTCCCTGAGCCTTGCTTCCTGATTCTGTAAAATGGGGCAATGACCTTTGCCTTGACTTCAATAGGAGACAAGACTGCTGGGGGTAGGGGTGTCAGGAGGGCACATGGCTGCAGCCCCACAGGTTCATGTTCTGCAGGCAGAAGCCCACACCCAGGTTCCTCTGCCCTCATATTCTTTTCCCAGGACCCCCCAACTCTGGGACTGGTTCCCATGTGTCCTCTGCCCTTCCCAGCTCCCCACCCCCACAACTGAGCAATAAAATCCCTAGGAATGGAAATTCCACTTCAGATCTGGAAAGAAGGAAGTAGAACTGCCTGCACTGGGCCTCAGCCCAGGACTCAGCTGACTGAGGCTCTTGGAACCACCTCTCCCAGGAAAAATTTCACACTATTCATAACTCCAGGGCATCTTGGGAGGCAAACCTCTTCTCTTTCCTTTTCATGTTCCCCTGGGGTCATCTTGTCCATTTCCATGGCTTCAGTTACCAGGTGCAGCCAAGGCCACCCAATCTTTGCCTCTCCATTGAGATAGAGGCTCCTGGCTGTCTCTGGGGGTGTCACCCAGGCCCTGCAAAGCCACAATGACCTCCTCACCACCCCCAACCTGCTTCTCATATCCCTCAAAGCCCTTCTCTCACCATCCTGTTGGCCACTGCCCTAGGGGAGAGGGGGAAACTGCCCACCAATCCAAGCTCTCACCCGCAGCCAGCGCAAGGTTTTTAATAGGCACATGACCAGGATCTGGCCCCTCCAATTTCTCCAGCCTCACCACTCCAGAACCTTCTGTCCCTTCATCTGAGTGACACCTCCTGACCCTTCTAACCTCAGTTCAGATGTTACCTCCTCCAGGGTATCTCCCGTGAGTCCTACGTTTGGTTAGAGCACTCTCCAGCCTCTCATAGCCCTGTGTGCCCCTAATTCTTCCTGGACACCCTGTGTGAGTACAGTGAACATGTCATCTCACCCATGGGGTGGCCCGAGTTATTCCTACATCCCCAGTGGCCAGCACAGTGGAGGCAAAGGGGCTTCCTGGACTACAGCGAGGAGACCTGGAAGTTCTACTAAGAGAGATGTGCTACTCAGACACTGGGCATTAGGACAAGCTCCCAGAGACCAGACTCTGTCCCCTCCCCATCTTCCTTCCTGCCAGAGCAATGGCATTACTTAGGATCAATTGATTTCTCCAAGCTGCTCCCCAGGGTATTAGCCAAGTTTGCAGGAAATCCCCTGCCTAGAGCCCCTGCTGGCTCTGAGACATGAGGAAGCCCTCACCTCTGAGCCCCATCCCTCAGTCCAAAGTCCTGTTTTCTGTCTGAATCCTTGGTCCCTGCCCTGCCTGAACTCCTGTTTGCACAGGAAAGGGCCTTCAGGGGTCCAGGCCTGAGGGGCAGTGAGTGCCTACTACAAAGCTGCAGGATCATCTCCTGATGTCCCGGGAAGGCACTCAACCCACTTCCCTGCTTCTCTCTCCCATGACTCCCAGGCTGCCAGGCCC